TCTTATATACAATTAAATTAATTAGTAACAACTTCATTCCAATCTAACCTTCTAACCGCGATATTGCACTTTAATTGCGACGTAACATTCTAACCGCGACACTAATTTCGACGTTATGCGAATAAAAATAAAAAAGTAATACAAATAAAAATAAAATAGTAAAAATCTAATAAAGAAATGAAATAAAAGATATAAGGAATAAATAAATATAGATATAAAATAAAGTAAAAATAGAAATAAAAGATTTGATCACCATGGACATGATGTCAAAGGCCCATCTATTCAACAAATGCACCATGTACCATTACCTTGCTTGCAAAAAATTACCATCATCAACATACCAACTTAGAATAAATATATCAGATATGAGATATCTAATACAGCATATCAACAATACAACACCTGTCACAATTGATAATAATATATCTTTAAATATATCACACTTAATAAATCACCAACTTATACAATCCACATTGACCTCCTCACCAATACAAAATATCCTATTATCATATGCCAATAACAACCATTCCTCTCAATCATTTACATTCTACACTGTTGGATCTTTATCAAAATTTGGTCAACAAGATATTAAATTATCTTGTGCCTGGATTCAATTAAAAGATGAAAATGTCAAGCACTCTTTTTCTTGTTCATTGACATCCTTTCCCTCTTCAACAATAGCAGAATTAATGGCAATTATGACTGCTCTTATAACTTGTCCACAATACTGTTTGGTGTCAATTTATACAGACAGTCAATCATCTATCCAACTACTTGACAATAACATCACACCTAACACTACTTGCAATAAATTTAAAATCAAAAATTACTCTATAATATCCTCAACCCACCACATAAAAAAATCATTATCATTAAAAATATTCTTTCACATTCAGGCAATAAATATAATGATTTAGTTCATAACTTAGCTAAATCAGCTTTGCCTGAATACTCCAGGTAAATCCTTCTTTGGTTAGCTTGGTCTAAAGACTCTTATTGCTGCGCCATGCAGCCAAATTTCAAAATAGCAATTTTGTAATTCATTCAAAAATGTATATAATAAAATTTTTCAAAAAATAGGACTTCACGTGATTTTAGTTTTCTTACTGCCAAATTAAGATAGATAGTCAAGAGCTAGTCTAATTTTGGTATATTTTTCCTAAATTTAGAAATGATTATAATGGACAAATTCCTTGCGAGCATAGTAAAGTACATGTTTTAAAAAATAATCGAACTCTACAACAAATTTTTTTTTTGAGAAAATCTCTCTATTACATTAAAACTAAAATCATATTCTATCAACTAATAGAGCTATTTTTTTAAAAGGTAGGACAGAGAGTGACTTCTATACTTTTAAAATTTGCCCAAAATTTAGGAGATCTTTAGACCGAGCCAACTATTCTATCAACTCCATTCTCCAATCATATTCAATCAACAATATATTGATTATCCTTTATGTTCTTTCATAAAATTAAATTCAAACTCACTAGCAATAATTAAATGGCAAACACAACCTACCTTGATAAAGCAAATTCCATCAAACACCTATCAATTGGTCATATACAGAATTTTGTCTAAAATTCTCTCATTACTCAATGTTCACTGAAAATAATTCACACTTTTACCATAGCTCATTATACTCATTCAAGCTTGAAATTCTCCACCCAATCTTAATTGTCTCTATTGTAATCAATCACCTGAAAATACTACACACCTATTTTCTTGCCAAGCTACACTCACTGGTCATAAATATAAGGACACTTGCAGATCATTGGAAATAATTGAACAAAGAAACATGAAAAAAAATA